AAAAATGTTTGTTGGGTAAATCTGATCTCTTTTATTAGACTGACACAAATAGTTGGAAAAAATGTTCTTAGCAAGCTTTTGGGCACAAACACCCTTCGTCAATCAACTCCACTTCATCAATCTACTGAACACAAAAAATCTTGGGACTAAATATAGACATTAGATTTATGACACATTATAACCTGCCTAACATCTGACCTCCCAAGTAAACCCTACACTTTTTACCAGCTATCCTCATTCCCTTCCCACCACCCTCCTGTCTCCCAGCCTTTGGCTACAGCTACATTAAATACCCCCTTCTTTCCCCCTCCTCCCTCCCCCCAACCTGTCTCTCACCTACTGATCACCTCAATTTACGTTTTCACTGACTGGCTTACTTGCATATGTACTGGCCTCCAGCTGCTTTACCACTCCATCCAGGAAGACAGACCATCTGCAGATGCTTCATCAGCCTGACAAAGGGTGTTTGTGCCCAAAAGCTTGCTAAGAAGAATTTTTCCAACTATTTGAGTTGGTCTAATAAAAGATATGGGATTTACCAAAAGAACCTCGTCTACCACTCAGGAAATATACTTTCAGCATGAAAATTAGTATGTCCTGGTTTGTTTATTCCCCATCTCATGCCTCAGTGTATTAATTTTGCCTAGATAAAATTAAATTGCAAGGGCACCTGCACTAAAATTCTCTCTCAATTCAAAATTACTACCAGAATCTATTTAGGAATACAATATTATTTCAAAATCATCACTGTGGATTTCTTAGCTGAAAACAATGCAATGTTATAAAAAATTCATTTATTGGCATCATAGGAACTGGCCACAAAGTTATACATTTTTTGTGGAATAACTTTGTGGCTTATTACTTTTTTATGATGTCATTAATTGCTTTAACTTGTGGCCAGGTTGCAACTTAAGATGCAATTAACTGGTTAATGACACCCCAAGTGTGACAGGGACCCAAGTAATGTAAGAACAATTATAACAACGTGTCTGAAAATTTAAATTTTGTTTGATAAACCCTCAGAAGGGTAATAGAAGTTCAACAATCACATTTCTTACATGAGAAAACTCTCCTCTGAATTTTGAGAGCATGACAAGCAATGAATTTCTCCTAAACTATTAGAGAAACATTTAATATAGTGGCTTCTTAGTAAGAAACAAAAGCTTACAGCTTGGGGAAAATTATCTTTAAAAGTCCTTCATATAAAATAGCTTAGCTCAAAACGTGATGGTATTAGTACATTTCATTGATGTTAATAATTAAAAAAAAAGAAAAAAAAAAATCAAGAAGAGCAAGATGTGAGAGCACTTGATAGAGCAGAAATACCTCCATTCCAACTTTAGCCTGTACTCAGTGTCCTCTGTCAGCTGGGCAAGTGACTTAGGACTTGATCTTCTAACCCCTTGCCTGGTACTAAAAGAAAATCATCTCTAACTGTAACATTGCAAAGAAAAAAAAAGTACTACCCTCCTTGTGATGGGGGCTGTGATGCCAAGTTCTCCCTATAACATAGAAAAGCAGTGGTGTAACAGCCATCTGCCAGGACAGAAAGAAAAAAAAAGATAGCTTGGCTAGAAGGTTATCTTGCACAGGTCAGCCCCCAGCTGCACATGATGCTGAGATGCATCATATCAAGCCTTGGAGTCCATCTCCTTGGGACTGACTGAAATCTTAACCTCTCTGCTTCAGTTGTATATGCAATGATACTAAATGGGATGTTTGGGATCCCTACCAATTATGAGGCAATAGGGATGCAAGGATTTTAGCAAACACCAAAACATTCTTAAAATAAATATTCTCATTACCAAAAAAGAGGCACTCAAAATGCATAATTCATTTTACTGATATTCATTCTACCTTCTGCACACAAACATTTCCCTCCCTCAATGTAATAACAAAAACGTGTCTACATTCCAACAGCAATATAATGTAGCTAACAAGCACTAGGTACATATATTTTTAAAAATTCAACAAGCTCCAGTTTTCTGAACTAGTTAATCTGAAAGTTATTTGGGTTCAATCAAAGACAGTACTGTGACAAGTTGTAAAAAATAGCTATGATTATTTATACAAATAGTAACCCTTCACTTAAATTATTTCTTTCCATGTTTCCTACAGATTATCATCTGGACCACAAGAATGTTACAGCTAATTACACACCAGGTCTACACGGGAATTCCACATTCAATGAATTTACAACTATTGTTTTGCCTGTGCTTTACCTCATCATCTTCCTGGCAAGCATCTTACTGAATGGCCTAGCAGTATGGATTTTTTTCCACATCAGGAATAAAACAAGTTTTATTTTTTACCTCAAAAACATTGTGATTGCAGACCTCCTTATGACACTGACATTTCCCTTTAAAATCATTAAGGACTCGCAGCTGGGACCATGGCACTTCAACTTTTTTCTGTGCCGTTATACCTCAGTTTTGTTTTATGCGAACATGTACACCACAATTGTGTTTCTTGGACTTATCAGTATTGACCGGTATTTGAAAGTGGTAAAGCCATTTGGAGACTCCAGAATGTACAGCATTACTTTCACAAAGATCTTGTCTGCTTGTGTTTGGGTTGCCATGGCTTTCCTAGCCTTACCAAATCTAATTCTTACAAATGGTTACCCAACAAAGAAAAATATAGATGACTGCATAAAACTCAAATCTCCCTTGGGAGTAAAATGGCACAGGGCTGTCATTTACATCAACACTTGCATGTTTGTTGTAGTGCTAACTGTGTTAATAGGATGTTATATTGCAATATCCAGGTACATATATAAATCAAGCAAGCAATTTATTAGTTCATCCAGCAGAAAGCGAAAACACAACCAGAGCATTAGAGTTGTTGTGGCTGTATTTTTCACTTGCTTTCTGCCATATCACTTGTGTAGAATACCATTTACTTTTAGCCATCTAGATAAACTGTTAGATGATTCAGCACATAAAATTTTGTATTACTGCAAGGAGATGACACTGTTTCTATCTGCATGTAACGTATGTCTGGATCCAATAATTTATTTTTTCATGTGTAGATCATTTTCACGAAGGCTATTTAAGAAGTCAAATATGCGAACCAGAAGTGAAAGCATTAGATCACTTCAGAGTGTCAGAAGATCAGAAGTGCGCATATATCATGAATACACCGATGTATAATGTCACATTCGCAAAGACTTTTGCTCATTTGCAATAATCTATTTGTATAGTATGTAAATAAAACATTTCTTTTGATTACTTGTGAATCTAACAAAATTTAGACAAACAAAATCTGAACACAGGTTAGTAATGAGTAGATGCTTACAGTATTTCCTATTCAACTTGCCAAAATCCACCTTAAATTAAAAAAAAAAATTAAAATATCAAGATAATGTTTCAGAGGAGTAGGTTGTAGCTGTTGGTCTAAGGACATAGGCAGACAAGGTTCTCTGGGTAAATCCAGTATCTTTTATTAGACCGACTCAAGTAATTGGAAAAATTCTTCTTCGTAAGCTTGCAGGGACTAACACCCTTTGTCAGGCTGAGGAAGAGTCTGCAGATGGTCTGTACTCTTCCTGGATGTGGTGATAAAGCAGCCAGAGGCCAGTACGTATGCAAGAAAGCTAGTCAGTTAAAATGTAAATTGAGGTGGTCAGTTGGGGGGGGGGACAGGGAGGGAGGAAGGGGAGGGGGAATGAATGCAACTGTAGCCAAATGCTGGGAGACAGGAGGGTGGCCAGGAAGGGAATGAGGATAGCTGGTAAGAAGTGGAGGGTTTACCTGAGAAGTCAGATGTTAGCAGGTTAAAATGTATCATAAATCCAAAGGCTATATTTACTCCATGATTTTTTGCATCCAGTAGGTTGATGACCTGAAGTTCATAGGCTCATCTATGAATAGGATTTTGTCAATTCCCTTTGAGGATTAGAACTGAGAGATTGGAGAGAGAGTGGTTTTCCTGTGAGAAACGTGTCCCCACAGGTAACTGGGTATTCTTGTCTTTGATAGATTTACAGTGCATGTTCATTCTGGTGCACAGTTCATGTTCAGTCTCTCCTACATACTTGTCACAAGGGCATTTTGTGCACTGGATGAGATATATTACATTTCTGGAGGTGCAGGTGTAAGATGGAGGAATGGTGATGGTTTTGTTGTGGGGGGTAGTGGAGATATGTTAGCAGGTTTTACATTTCTTGTCCCAGCATGGTCTGGATCCACTCTGTGTATTTCGGGATGTAGGAAGTTTGCTTCTGGTGATGAGTTTGGCGAGGTTCAGTGCTCGTTTAAAGGATAGGATGGGTGGTTCTGGGAAGATGTCTTTGAGAATTGGGTCTCCTTCTAGTACAGGTTGCAATTATTTGAGGATTTTCCATATAGGTTCCCAGGAGGAAAGGTGTGTCATAACCAGTGGTGTATGACGCATGGGTTTTTTTATTCTGTATTGTAGCAATTCTTCACGTGGTATCTGGGTGGCTCTTTCAAGTGTCATTTATCTCCATGGAGGAGTGTCCCTGTTGAATGAAAGCCCTTTTGAGATTTGTGAGGTGGTAATCACAGGTGTTCTCTTCAGTGCAAATTTGGCTTTCTTGGTGTGTTTAGGGTGATTGCTGGTTCTATGCCAATATGTATGTTGGTCTGTGGGTTTCTTGTATATGGTGGTCTCTATTGTAACATTCTGGATTGTGACCGTGATGTCCAAAAAGTGAATGTTGGTGTTGGAGTATTCCAGAGATAGTCTCATGGAGGGGTGCTGCATGTTGAATTTCTGATGGAAAACAATCAGAGATTGAAGGTTTTCAGTCCAAATGATGAAGATATCAGTGATTTAT